TGAGAATCAAATCTACATTTCTTTCAAGATAAACAAACACTCTTAACCACTTAGCTTTCTCTCCAGTCCCATAAGTGATGTTTAAATGTATATCATCTCCAGTTTGCTAATAAACTCAATATAATGCAAATAATATTCCTGAAACAATTTCAAAAGTTGGTAAACTCAATCTGGAGTTTATGGAGATAGACAAAGGACAGGATAACTAGGAAAATTGGAACCCTAGAAAAAGTGGCATTATATCTTCTGACTATTCTTCTCTGTTGTATGAAATTAGAGTGATGAAGACTTTTGTGCGCTCCTGAATCCCAGAGGCATTGCATGTGTGTCTTTTATGTCATATGAGTGTCGGTAGGAGGCAGAGAAGAGACTATGTCCATGCTCAGCTCACAGTCCTGACCTATGAATATCTGAAAAATTAGCAGCCTAACATTCCCAGAAAGAAGTAAGCCTAAGGCAGCCTGACTGGCACTATGCAAGAGCAGACAGTCTTCCAGAAAGAAGATCCAGAAACTAGAATAAATCTTCCTATTATCAAGGCTATGAGCATAAACAAGAATGACACAGGCAACACTTTCAAGGGGCCACTAAGGTGGACAAAGGGGAAAATGAAACAAAGTGACCACCAGACAAGTACCATGGAGCCAAGACAGAAAGCTGCCCTGACAAAACCACCATTCTGAGACAATAATAGGTGAGAAGGGCATAGCACACCTAAGCCCACAACTGACATGACCCCACACTCGCAAAAAGACCTGTTACATCTGAGAAATACTTAGAGTAGGTGATTCATGAGGAGGAGCAGCTGGGGCAGCCAAGACTCTCACTTCTGCTTCCATGGGGTTTATGTTATGACTTGTATCACTGTGGGAGGATACTCATCATACTGTAGACAGTAATAATCAGCCATATCTTCAGACTCCAGGCTTCTGATGATGAGAGAATAATCTGACCCAGACCTACTGCCACTGAACCTTGATGGGACCCCATCTGCCCGGTTGGTGGCACGATAGATCAGGGGCTTAGGTGATTGCCCTGGTTTCTGCTGATACCAGCTTAAATAACTGCTAATGTCCTGACTTGCCTGACAATTGAGACTAACTGTTTCTCCCAGAGAGGCAGACATGGAGGATGGAGACTGGGTCATCTGGATGTCACATCTGGTACCTAGGAGTGGAGATACAATGAATATCCACATAGGTAAGCATGATAAAACAGGACATTCCCAAAATGTCAGTCAACACTAATCACAGTATAACAGAGAAATTCTCATTTTAGTTCATTTTACCTGGTAACCAGAGCAATAAGAACCCAAGAAATTGAGCAGGTACCCTCATGTTCATGTTGAGTCCTAACTGCAATGACAATGTCACAGATTGTGACTGGTACATGAAGAAGTCCCCAAGATTGTGCAACAAGGGCATGCAAATCACTGGGAAACAGTTAGCATTGGTCACACCTGCAAAGCTTAACTCATTTCAGTACTTAGCACAAGCCCAGTGTCCCCAGGCATCTGAGGTCAAACCACATGTATGTCCCCAGAGAGTGAATTTCTATTCAAAGATTTATAATTATAGGTGATGTGTCTAATGTGGGTAGACTCTATTTGGAATAATATATTTCAGAGACATGCTGGAGCAACATAGCTGAATATCCTGCTATCATGGAATATACAAGGTAGAAGAAACTATCAGATCTTTAACTCACTCAAATAATTCTGATTGGACAAAAAAAATAGTATGTGTTCCCCTTGTGAAGTCTTTGGAGTAAGCATTACTTGAAATTAAAAGGACAATTTATCAAAACCATTTTCACTGAATTACAATATAAAGATTTTACAACTTTAACTTTAATAACTACAGTTCAAAGAGAGGAAATACACAGTACACGCACATATAACAACTTGATCCAAGCAACTTGTGCCACTTGAAGTTCTGATTTCATGTGAAGATAGAGGTGCATTCTTACATAGAAACTAAATGAGTACAACTTTTGCTCAGTTTGGGATCCTCCATATGGTGCACTTTTCTATCATTTGCTACTATTTCCCACATTTTCTCAGCATAAAGGATTAACTAGTGATGATAGAATTGATTACTAAAACACTAAACACTGCTATTTTCACATTTTGTTTTTCAGTAGTACGTGGAGGAATTATCGTGACTCAGGAAACAGCCTTGCTGTCTGGATATGGGTCAAAGTCTCCAATCAAGCTATGATGTGGAAATGTTTGTGCATCCTTATAACACAAATACTGAATACACCACATATGCATGTATTTATTATGACCATTCAAACTTATTCGTCATCAGGAGAAACCCAGTCTGTTCAGTCTTCAATACTTTGTCCTCTAGCCATGGAATCCTTTGCGTCTTTCAGAAACTAACTATGGAAGGTCCTACAATGGTGCAGAGTGAGTTTGAACAAGATAAGTTTCTAAGGGACTCGAGTAATGCGGGAGAACAAACATTTAGGCATAAAGCATGTTCTTCAATATACAGAACTCCATCCCAAGCAGGAGTACCACACAGCAGCTTTTGGATGGATTAGTAGTAATGCTGCCTTCTCTGCCTCTTCCCTGCACTCTCTTTTTGCTGATATCTAACACTTGTAACAGTGTCTTTCTTGAATTTTTGAAGCTTGGAAAACATTTCTGCACTCTCACATGATAGCCTCAGGATATGAGGAAGATTCATTCAGGAAACTTTTAGTGGATGTTAATAGGAGGTCGACAGTTTCTCTCAGATTAAAACAAATGAATCATTAGCTTGCAGGACATCTGGGATCTGAATTCTTACCACATCTTTTTAATGATATGTGCAAATACAAAGAGAATTCCAGAAACACTCAACTTTCCTTTATCAATAGATTTTACTTTGCACTAAAAACTAAACAATTTTGTTTTGGATTATACCTTCCTAGGAAAGCCTGTATTGATGGTATAAGAGTAAGCATCACTAACTTCTGAAAACAGTCATCAATTTCTTAAGACACCATAAATCACACATATTGAATACATACATGTACATATTGAGATTCGTGTGTCTCCCTACTCTGTTGATTAATATAAGGCTTTCTGAATTTTTTTCTGAATTCAAAAGTTCATGTTTTAAGGAGATGATACAATCTAATAATCTAATGATTTGGAAATAATGGACCTCACTGAACGTTTCCATGATTTTCCAAGTCTAGGCTCTAGAACGTTTAAATTGAAATTGATTTGTAAAAAGGATTTGTCAGGTGTAATTAAGTAATGAGTTTGAGATGATATGAACATTCTGAAATATATGGGTGATCAATATAATGGCATATGTTTTCCTAGTAGGGAGAGAGGGAGTTGAACTATACAGAGTGGTTGTAACAATGGAAAACAGAACCATGGTGGACAGTGCCTGTTATTCAGGTTAAGGAGGTATTTTCTTGGAAAAATAAGTGTGAGCATTAGACTGTGATACTAGACTCTAGGGGATGCTATCTGATCTCCTTATCCTTGAGGTTAATTCAGGAGATGGCTAACATGCAGAACTGTAGGGAAAATATATATTTTAATCAGTTCTGAAGCTATTGGCATGTAGCCACAGAAATCCAATTGAAAACACTGTCTTTGATATCTCTAAACCTGTGATTTTCTTAATACTCCAACATTCTAGAATTGTTATCAGGTGAAAAGAGGTTTGCTTTAAGATGAGAGAGTTTCAGACCTATTCATGGCTATAAAACAATGATTGTCAGTTGTGAGTAACTTCAAGGAGAAAAATTGGAAAAATAAGTTTAAAGGAGGATATTTTTTTTTTCTCTCACAGTATCTCAAATGTCTACCCATCTTGATTCCAATGTATTGTTTCTGGGTCTGAGTTGACATAGAGCATGGTGGTAGAGGGTACATGAAATAACATAGCTTTGTTAAAGAATGAAAGAATAAAAACAATACAGAGTGACCATGAGAGACTAAAAGACAAGTGCTAGAAACAAAACAGGAAAAGCAAAGAAATGAAAAAAAAAATAAAATAAAAGGCCTTTACTTCAGAAACACTATGCAGTTACTTTTTGTTCCTAACTAGATGAAGCTAGTTATTTTCTTCCACTTCCTAATGGTTTCTAATGGTATAATCTACTAAAGATTAAGTTTTCAACATTGGCCCTTGGAAATACAATATAGATTCAAATTATGACATTAATTCTTTGCCCCTCCCGAATGTTCACCCTTGTCTTAAATAAAAACAAAATACATTGAGACAAACTGTGACTCTGCCAATTCTTACAACTCTTGCATTTTGTGAAAGTGATGACAAAAGCCCCCAGAGAAACTCAAGAAATGATTTAACTATAAGATTGTATAAAACTAACAGGTAAAAGTATTTATTAACTTAACAAACCATAAGGTACTAACAATCGCAAGACTTACGAAGAATATTGTCAGCATCTAAAGCCTACAATGATTTCCATAATTTAATTTAATATTTCTATTAATATTTCTACCAACGTATTCAAAAGTGGTTATGTTCATGACTTTCTTTGTTCTGTTATTATAAAATTTCATGAAACTGTGACAAGAAAGGAACATGGAATAAGAGGCAAGCTAAATCTGTGTTCCAAAGCCAACGTCATTCATACTTGGATACATAGTAAACTATCTCTTAAATTCTTGAAGATGTAAGTTGTGATTTTGTGTTGATTACTGGGACATCCCATAGTGGTGAAACTAACAGAAGTGAAATTAAGAAGGCTACAGAGAAGACAAGACATACATAATCTACAGTTGGGCAAAAGTGTAATCTCTTTTTATTATTCTCACAAGTCTGCACCTTATATACCCAAATTACCACTTCCACTTTCAGCTGGTGTTTCCAAAATTCCCTACTCTATTGCAAATTGCTGACTAGAATAGAACTTCCTGGGAGAAGAGGCTATGTTTTAACACTGCAGGCTAGCGGAACTAGTCATAGTTGTTTCTTGCATAGAATATTTTTAGTTTACTAGAGATTTGTATTTTTATATACTACATTCAGGGTTTGACAATGAAAATGAGAATTACTGTTACATAAAATGACAAAATATTGGTGAGCATTGAGAAAAATATAGTTGTTTCTAGAACAAATTAAAAAGATCTGTTTTTAAATACCTTGGTTTACATACCAAGTTGTATATGAAGACAAGAAAGCAAGGAATTCTAAAGGAAAAATGCACATATAAAAAATCATGTACATGTACATATAGGCACACATATATATGAATGGATATATGTGTGTGTGTTTGTGTGTGTCTTTATATACACAGTAATACACACATTAAAAACTAAAATACATTTTGGAATTCCAGGTATTAAACGTTGGGTCAAACAAAAATGCTACACAGAAAACTATAACTGTCAATAATTAAAGAAAAACATATCAAGAACAAATCAAATTTTATATGAAGTAATATATTCATAATAATTTGATATCATTAATATAATTAACTAATTCAATAAAATGCCCCAAGAGAATGGATGTATAGAGAGAATGACTTAAAATACATGTAAGTGCTTGTTTACTGTAGCAAAAATGACAGTACTTAAAATCTAGAACTTAATCAGATAATAACATGTAAGTGAAAATGTGCTAACACTGCCAGCCAGGATATAAATGATGATGAGTTGATTTTGTATGCTTTGCTTATTTAATCCCATCTACATAAGAGGAAATATTAATTGTTTAGACTTCAAAAAAATTGAATCTAAGATAGAATCTAGATGTTGTATATAATGATGGATTTTAGCATGAATAAAATGCATAGTAATTATGTATTCAAATAGGGTCTTATATTTATAATGTAAAAATAAAATCCAAAACCAAGAAAATCACACCATTAAAAATATAAACAGTGTAATCTGAACATGGACAAAGATAAACATGGACATTCCCTGAATGAGACATAAATAAGACACATCAGATTTTTTTTAAGTTAAGCATCATAACTTGGTATGGAAGGTCTTTTTAAATCTATATATAGAATGCCACAATTTAAAATACAGTATTAGCACCCTGATTGTAAACATTCAAGAGAAGATTTTTTAATAGTGATAACACTAAAAAGTACCTTTGAAAACTTACTACCACGAAAAGCAGAATTATTATACAATTCAAGCTTTAAAAAAAAGTATTGGGTATCTTTGCAGAGAAAATGAAAACTCATTTTTACACCAAAACTATTAAAAAAAAAAAAACTTAATGAGAGTTCTTCCAGAGGTAGCTAGAACTCAGTAAGTCTTTAAATCTTCCTTATCCAGCAACATGACAAACTGGGGTTCTTAAATACCAAAAAGTTGAACTCTTAAGTAAAGTAAAGCTAATTCTTCATGTACACAGCTTGGCAAAGTTACAGAGTAGTGTGAGGCTGTAGCTCGCACGTGGGTGTGGGTCCTATTGGGCTGAGTTGTGGTTCCTGAGCTTCTGCTGCCCCAGGCAGCTGGAACCACACCTCAGAGGGCAAAAGAATTTGACTGAGTTCACTCCACGAGGCACCAGGCAGATGCTGGGCTATGAGAAGCCACTGAGCTCCACTCTGGGCATGGAGAGATTCCAGTTTGAGGTCCCACGGGAAGGAGCTCTTGGATTGGAGGTCTCCAGGTAGAGTTGGCTGGCTGGAGACTGGCTTGTCAGAGCCCGTGGGCTCCCAGCAGCTGCTGGAAGATGCAGAAGGACTGACATGGGATCAATATGGCTAGACCAGACCTCAGCCAAAAGGGGTAAGGGAGAGAAGCTCCAAGGTGCCCTGCAGGGTGGATAAGACTCTTGGTGGAGGCAACTTGCTTGGCTGATGCATGGCTGGCTCGGCTAGCTGGCTTGAGTTGGCAGGCCTCTGTGGCAGGAACATAGAGAAGACCTCCACAGGAGATTAGACAGTGGCTCAGTAGTTGAAAGCCCCCTCCACAGTTCTCCATGGTGGGCCCCAAGTACGAGAGGAAGTTCATGGTTTTAAAAGGTTTATTGTCATAGCTAAAATTGGGTTAAGCGGTATCCTTTGTTCTCAGAGCAAGCCTGAGGTTAAATATCTTTTATACAGAGGAGTCAGGGAAAGAATGCTTAATTGGCTAGGCCCTCTGGCCTTTAGGTATCTTATTAATATGGAGATTTTGGGGGCTCTGCAGCCTATAGTCATGCCCTCTACAAGTGCTACTGGACTGAAAGCCACAAACATTTCTTTGGGAGGGGCTGTGAATAGCTGAAGATAAGTGAGAGGAACCAAGAGGCCCAGGAGTACCACCAACTCCTACTGTCCTTTTAGGGTCTCCAGGGTTAGAAGCAGACTCAACTGGGTACCCCACTGCCTCTCACAACCCACCACATCACAGAGTATGCCAATAGCAAATGGTACATACTGTGTGAGGATTTTTCTCTAGTTTTGCTATGAGTTGGGGAAAGAGTAAAGACAGCAGTGAGTTTAGTGGTGGCAGTGCAGTGAATACAAGATTATTGTTGTGAAAACAGACTGTATATGTGATCAGTATACCTAGAAACAATGGACAAGTACAACATCATCCGTGTAAATGAGCTCATTATTAATATGAGATTTCTTTAAATTTCCTCATTTAATCTATTGTTAAACCTGTCAACCAAAGAGAAGGTTGTGTGCAAAGTGCAGATGTTTCTGCCTAAAAGTATTTGACAACTTCCTAGGAGTGTTATATAAAATTAGAATAACCAAAACTGTGGTGCACTCCTGCCTCCCAGAGTCATTGGAGGTCTGTATTTTGTGTCATATGAGTGTCAGAGAAGAGAGAGGCTATGTCTATGCTCACCTCACTGTCCTGACCTCTGAATGTCTGAATGAGAAGTAGCCTAACATTCCCTGAAAGAGGGAAGCCTAAGACAGCCAGACTAGTATGAGGCAAGAGCAGACAGTCTTCTAGGAAGGGGATCTAGAGACCAGAAGAAAGCTTCCTGTGACCAAGGCTATGGGCATGAATGAGCCTGAGACAGGGAATACTTTCAAGGGGCCACTAAGGTGGACAAGGTGGAGAATCAGCCCTCGGTGACTACCAGACAAGGACTATGAAGCCAAGACAGGAAAATAGCCTAATGAAACAAATAGTCTGAGACCATAATGGGTTACCAGGACATAGCACACCTAAGCCCACAACTGACATGACCCCAAACTCGCAGAAAGACCTGTAATATCTGATAAATACTTAGAGTAGGTGATTCATGAGCAGGAGCAGCTGGGGCAGCCAAGACTCTCACTTCTGCTTCCATGGGGTTTATGTTATGACTTGTATCTCTGTGGGAGGATACTCATCATACTGTAGACAGTAATAATCAGCCATATCTTCAGACTCCAGGCTTCTGATGATGAGAGAATAATCTGACCCAGACCTACTGCCACTGAATCTTGAAGGGACCCCATCTGCCCGGTTGGTGGCACCATAGATCAGGCGCTTTAGTGATTGCCCTGGTTTCTGCTGTAGCCAGATTAAATAACTGCTAATGTCCTGACTTGCCTGGCAATTGAGACTAACTGTTTCTCCCAGAGAGGCAGACATGGAGGATGGAGACTGGGTCATCTGGATGTCACATCTGGTACCTAGGAGTGGAGATACAATGAATATCCACATAGGTAAGCATGATAAAACAGGACATTCCCAAAATGCCAGTCATACACTAATCAGAGTGTAAAAATGAGATATCCATTTTAGTTCATTTTACCTGGTAACCAGAGCAACAAGAACCCAAAAATCTGAGCAAGGGCCCTCATATCCATGCTAGTCCTGACTGCAATGACAATGGCACAGAGTATCAGTAGTATATAAAGAAGTCCCCAAGGCTGTATAGTGAGGTCATGCAAATCATCGGAAACCAGTTATCACTGTGCACAGCTGCAAGGCTTACTCATCTCAGTACTTATAACAAGCCCAGTGTCCCCAGATGCTGAAGTCAAACCACTTGTATTATCTCCAGAAAATGAATTTCTTTTCAAAGATTTATAGTTATAGATGACGTTAGTAATGTAGATAGTTTCTATTTTGAATATAATATATTTAAAAGACATGATGGGGTAATATAGAATATCCTGATGTCAGAGAATATACAACAGAGAAAAACTACTAGATATTAACATATTCAAATAATTCTGATCGGCTAAAAAAAATTGTGTGTTCCCCTGTGAAGTGTTTGGAGTAGACATCACTTGAAATTAAAAGAACAAGTCATCATAACCATTATCACCAAGTTAAATATAATATTTTACAGTATTAACTTTGCTAACTACAGTTCAAACAGAAGAAATCCATAATAGGTGTACATATAACACCTTGATCTCAAGAATCTGTGTCATTTAAACTTTTGACTCCATGTGAAGTTGGAAATATTTTCATACTTACAAATTAAATGGGTACAACTTTTGTTCAGTTTGGGATCCTCCATATTTTTCTCTTTTCTAACATTTACTACTATTTCCCAAAGTTCTTCTGCATAAATGTTTGACTGGTGGTGATAGAATTATGTACTGTAACAGAAATCACTGCTATTTACACATTTTGTTCTTGAGCAGTACCTGGAGGTGTTATACAGACTCAGGCAGCAGCCTCACTGTCTGCATGTAGTTCCCAGTCACCAAACAATGCAAAAATGTTTGTGTATCCTTATAACATAAGAATTTGAAATCCACAATTCAGACATTTATGTCTTTATTATGGCCATCCAACCTTATTTACCATCACAAGAAGCATAATCAATTCAATATTCAATATTTTGTCCTGAAGCGAAGGAATTCTATGGGTCTTTCAGAAAGTAACTATGAAAGGCCTTACAATGTTGCAACATGAGTCTATACACACTGATTTTCCAAGGACCTGCACTTGAATGATGTGTAAGAACAAAGACCTAGTCATAAAGCAGCTTCTTCAATATTCAGAGCACTATCCCCATAGGGAAAAACTCACAGCAGCCTTTGCATGGATTAATAGTAAAGCTGCATTCCCTGCCTCTTTCCTGCACTCTCTTTCTGCCTGTATCTGTGTCTGTTTGATTTTTGAGGCTTGGAGACGTTTCTGAGTACTCATATGATAGCCCCAGGATCTGAGGAAGATTTGCTCAGGATACTCTTATTGCATGTTGATAGGAGGATGATGTTCCTCTCAACTTAGAAAAAAAAAAGTAAATCATTAATATGCAGGGCATCTGGGATGAGAATTCTTAGTATACCTTCTTTAATGATATGTGGAAATACAAAGGAATTTCCAAAAACTTTCAACTTTCTTTTATCAACAGGTCTTAGATTACACTAAGAGTTAAACAATTTTGGGTTTGACTACATCTTCCTAGGAAAGTGTGTATTAATGGTATAGCAGTGAGCATTGCTGCTTTCTAGAATTATTCAACAATTTCTTTTTTACTTGTTTGTTTTGTTTATTTTTTATTGCATATTTTATTTATTTACAATACAGACATCATCCCCTTTCTCCATTTCCCCTCTCTAGAATGCCTTATCTCATCCTTCCTCCTCCTTTGTGCTTTTATACTATTTCGATTACATGCATGTATTAAGTTCAGTTCTAGGTTGAGGTCCAACCAATACAATAGATGCAAATAGACAAGGAACAATCAATATAATAAACACAAATACTCAAGGAAAAAGCAAGGCATTAAACCCAACTACATAAATACTCCCATGATCACTGTTTCTAGGGGCTTATCAGGATGACCAAAGTATCTGAGCCTACTACCCTGTCTTAGCCCAAGTTCATTTTCATGTTTGAAGCCTTCTTCCTTGTTCTAGTCTAAAATTTAGATTCTTGTCTGAATTTTCTTCTTTGTTATAGCTTAATATTTAGGTTCCTGCCTGAGATTACGTCTTTGTTCTAGCCTAATATCTGATTCCTTCCTAAACCCTACTTCCTTGTCCTTGGCCAATGTAATATTCCTGCCAAGCAGCCCATTTCCTTGTCCTTGGCCCATATCAGATTCTTGCCAAGCAAAACCAAAGGCTCTCCGCCTCTCCCCATTTTTCATTTCATTAACAAGACTGAGCCTGTCTTAGGTCATTCTGACAAAAATGCCTTCCTTGTCTGTCATGGAAGCAATACACTTCTGTCTTAGGTTGTTAAAGCTCTGTGCAGAATCTTACCCATTCGTGGCTTGCCAGCCTGTTAATTTAATAACTCTGGCTGGGGGGGGGGGTCCATTTTCATGTTCCAGTCATGCACTTGGCTGCTGACATGTTGATGTTGTTGAAGAAAAGCTTTAACATAATGAGCAAGAATAAAAGTAGTCCCTGGACAAAAAGGGCTAGTAGGATCAAGCTATATATGCCATTTTTGAAGCTTGAGCAAAATAGAAATACTAACCTCAGGCCATGGGTAATTTTATCTGAAGTATCTACCACATCAACACACTGCAGAGCTGCATTCTTAAAAATCATAAGCTACCTATGTATCATTAAAACATCCCAAGAGGTGTTAGAATTATGCTAAATACACTGCAAGTGTCATTAAACTTCTTTCTAATTATAATGACTACCACTGTAAATTGTAGAACTAACATGAATCTAATGAGATTTGGCATGACACTCAAGAAGGCTCCTTACCCTTGAATTCTGAACCTCCTTCCAATAATTTAGATAAGATAAAGAGCATCAAACTGCTCTTCCAAATATCTATCTAAATCTTCTTGTATACTCAAAACATTAGTAACATTTTTTTGCTAAATGATTAACAAAAGTAGCTGTCTTAACTTTTTGTGTCACAGAAATTACAGAAGCAGTAGTTCTAGCAATTAATGTAATTAAAGCTGTTATACCAGCAATAATAAAGCCCACTACCCTCTTGCTTCTGCTTAAAGCCTGACTCAATTCTTCCAGGACTTGCAAGCTCTTTTTAGAATACTAAGGTTCTTTGATACTCAGGGCACTTAAACAAAAGCTGGCTGATAGACCTCCATAACTGACAAACCAGATTTCAAAACACCAAGACAACTAGAAGGTGTATAATCAATGTAACTTATATTAAATACTGTAGAAAAAAACAAAAGTATTTTTCACCTGTTTGAAATCTAGATTCTGCTCCAACTTTATTCCTAACATAACATCTTAGAGAACTGCAGCTAATTTCCATATATGTCTTTGAAAATGTCCAGAACAAGACTTCCAAATGACAACTGTTATTTCCAGTATTGGATTGATTTCTAGACCAGCCCATAGTTGAGTCTGAATAACAGGTCACATTTAATAATAATACAAGAGGCATTATAACTTCTCTTTTTGATTCTCTGTTCCACAAGATCTAAGAACTTGAGGCAAGGCAGCTTGTCCCATCAGTAGTATAGGTAAGCAATGGTGGGTTGGGAATTATGTCCAATACAGCTTCCCAGTCATCATTGTCAAGTCACTCAGCAAGCTCACAGTTCAGAATCATTCTTTGTCCTGGCATCAGCATGTCTCACCCATTGCTCAGGCAGCCACCAGGCTCCTTCAATATCCTGCAGAACAAACACAAACATGCCCTCTTCCCCATATTTAATACCTGACTGCTTTCATGCCATATGCCAGCAAGTGGATCCTTCCCTTTAACCTATGCATATGTATGCCTAATTGTAGAGTGCCATAGATACTCAGCAGAAAGTTCCTTGTCATCCAAATTTAAAAAAAAAAATAAAACTTTAAAATAAAAAACAAAAGAATATGATTTAAATAAATTTGTGGTGTACAGGGGTATGTATCCCTCTTTTTTTTTAATATTATGAAAATATTGTCTTAAAGTTCCATGGGCCAGTTCCACAGTCTCTTGTCCTTGACAATTTTAAGAAATCCCTACAATATGGGTAATGTTAAATTGCTACTAAAGAGTCTCAAATG